CGATCAATCAATCAATCAATCAATCAATCAATCAATCAATCAATCAATCAGCTTATAAAGCGCTATTTCCGCGATGTTCAACAGCGCTCCTCAATGAATTTTGAAAACAGATGGGTCTTGAGATCCGTTTTGAACTTCGCAAGTGATGGAGAAGTAGTCAGAGAAGTAAGTAGATAAGATTAGTTGCCTTTTTTTCCAATGGCTTGTTTTTTACTTTAAAGAATTATTTTTTTTTTATTTAGTGTTTTTTAGTACCCGGTCAAATTCATTCCATCGATGCGTGTCAGATGATGGTCGGTGCAATGGAGGTTCATCCGTAGTGAGTGAAGAAGTTTTTGGAGAGTACACGCCCACACATTTACACACACTCATCAATAAAACACACACATACACAACATCCATTCATTCGGTGTCGTTGTTGTTATGTTTTTTTTTCATCTTTCTATTTTCTTTACCTGACTTAATTTAATTCGTAGGTAAGTTAGGGATTGAGATGAGTTGAACAATCGTAGGTAGGCTAGGGCTTAACATTAGTTAAAAAGTTTCAAGTAAAATAAAAACGCTGAAATAAAATAAAATACCTAAAACATGTAAAATTCCAAAAACGTAGAAAAACATATTTGTAGGTAGGTGAGTTGAGTTAATGATTATAAGTAAGCTAGGGCCCTGAGAGTAATTTAATTGTAGGTAGGTGACTGACTACTATTCTTGCGACTTTTTACTAGTTTTTTGTGATGTGTTTGTTTTCGCTTCACAGCCCCACACCAACAAAACAAACTACATTTTATTCTCGTCGTCGTCTTAAATTTTACCTTTTTGAACAATCTTTTAATAATGTCTATTTATTTATTTAATTATTTATTAAATGTTGACTGGTTTCTAGTTTTTTTAATTTGGTTATATAATTTTTGGATATTTTTTGATTTAATAAAAGCAACTATTGTGTTTTTCTTTCTTTACTAAAATCTCGAAATTGTTTGTAGATCTGTACAGTTAAGTGTTTGTTCGTGTTTGAACAAGCCTTGCAAATATTTTTCAAATATGGTTCATTGATTTTTTGGTTGATTAGTTGATTGAATGAATGGTTGGTTGATTGATTGGTTGATTGATTGATCTCATAGTATTTTATATATGAAAAAAAATCCGATTAAGCCAACATACGGCTTTACTTGGCTACTGTATTTTACCAGACAAAAGCAATTTCTTTATTTATATTGACAAAAATAATTGTGAAATGAATATATTGACTTATTTAAAGCATTATATGTAAAGAAAACCGCCATGACACTGTTGTATGAGACCCAGTAAGCCACTGCAGTAAGCTAACGTATGATTTCAGCAACCATAATTTCTATGAGCACCAGCAGAATGTAAAATATTCATTGAATATAATGAAGATAGTTGTTCAAATAACAATTTTGATTTATTTAGGTCGTTTATTTCATGAGCAAACAAATTTTTAACATGATCGAATAGTGTAAAAAAGGGCGACTTTAGTTCAATCCTACTAAGCCAACCTTCGGCTTCAGTAAAAAGCCACCGGATTTCACAGGACCAAAAGTATAATTTTTATATTCAAATTAACAACAATAATTTAATAATACATAATTTTATTTAATAAAATCATAATTTTATTTAATAAAATTAAAGAGAATTACTACTATGTTTTAAGCATATTAGGTCAAGTAAATATTTTATATAGCTTGCTCGTTAAAATCCCTTCAATTTCGTAAGCCAATAAACCATGCATGTCAAATAGCCCGACTCTTGACTCGAACGATAATAAATCACCCTCAAAATCTCTTCCGGAAGTAAGCTCCTTGTTCGACCGTTAAAAGTGAGCGAAGGCCGTTATATTTATTTTAGTTATGTGACTTATACAGTTGGAAAGAAATTTTAAATTTTCAATGAAATTAGTTTTCTCCGAGATGATATGCGTCTCAATCATATATATAGAATATAACATGGTCTATATATATATGATCTAAATATTCAGCAGTTTCAGCAAGATGTGGTGTCTAAGGAAGGAATGGCGATATTCTATCTTATCTTTATTTTATTTCATATTTACCGTGCCCCTACTCGTTCTTTCAAACAAACGGATGAGTTCGTAAGATGCAAAATAAGATTACAAGATATCGGGATCGTTCTGGATCAGCAGGGATCGTCATGCCTTAGTTGAATCCGTGGAGGTGTTTTGTTTAGTAAAAACGACTGAACGCTGAAGTCGTAAAGAAATAAGTATGTAACGTACACAAACAAAAATACAGTCGCAACTACATATAACCTTTGAAGATCTCTTGCAAATGCATATGCATCCGTGTGATTACGGTTTCACAGTTTCATAACATTAATAATAAAAAAAGAGAAACAAGGGTTTGTAAAATGTTTGTGTAAACTTTACGCTGAATATTTAGAAAAGTTTAACCAGTTAGAACAAGAGTCAATAGTGCCATTGATTTGAGGCTAACAGGTTTTAGAGAACTGAATATGCTATCATTTAACGTTATTATTTGAAAATTCGCACTGAATAAATTTGAATCATTTCAACAAAATGTGATTATAAAGTATTCGGTGTTTAAATTTTTGTAGACTTTAATTTAAATTTAGCTGGTAAATTTTTTTCTTCACAAATGAAATTAATGTTTACAAATAAAGAATAGAAGGCATCATGAATGAAATTACGCTTAGTTAAGTGTACGAGAGTGACGGATCATTTAACTGCTCATCAGTGGTGGCACCCAACTGCACACTGCCCATTCATCATCTCGACGTGATCATCGTTTTGCAAGACTACTTCTTTCAAGTAAGTTACTGCAAAAGTAATTACATACCAAATGAAAAAACAATTAGTTAGGAAACAATTGAACAAAAATTATTAGAGTAGGCAAAAATTTTTGTTTGAACAAAAGAGAGTATATACTGTAAAAGAAAATTAACAAACGAAATAATGAATAAATGAAAAACAGACGATATAAATTGATGAAAAATACAAAGATATACATAATACACAAAAAAACACACACACACTTATATGTATACATAATATATTTATTTGTTTATTTATTTAAATATAAAACTGAAGTAGAAGACATAATCCATTTTTAGTAGTAAAAATTGCAGGTGGTGACCTAATGTCTCAATAATTTTGTAAAAAAGGACTGTTTCCGTATCTCGAACAATGGTTAAACAATCAAAACTCATATTATTTACTTGTTTGTTGTTGGTCACCTACGTCCAGAGCAAATGTTTCAAACCAAATTTCCATTTAAACAAAATATCAACTCCCCTAGCAACGAATGGATCAGCACATTCAGGGTGCAATGTGTGTGGGATGGATGTTGGCACAACCACATTGGAGAATATTACATACAAGGCCACTAGCGGGGATACCTCTCAGCTTTCAACAAAATGCTCTCTGCTCTGCGCATCCTCTGCCCAATGTGTCGGGTTCAACTTCGTATCAAGCATAATATCCCGCATTGTTGATGAAGTTGTGTGCCAGTTTTTCACGACCACACCTCAACTCTATCTCTCCAATGATCAATGCGTCTATTATGGAATTGTAAAGTTTTCTGCTTCGGCGATAATCTCAAAATTAATTTTTACAAACTTATTTTAATTAACAATTGCATGTAGTATGTTGATTTTTTTACGAATTTTCAACTTGATGACTTCATTTTTCAATTTTCAATAGTCGCCGGTTACAACGTCACCAAAGTCAAAAGTGCCAGGTTATAATTTCAACATATTTTACGTACGTTTTAAGTGTTTAATAATCATTTAAATTTTGAACCTTGAAATCTAAAAAAATTATTGCTATTGTAGAAATTAACGAATTATATTGTTTTATTAAAATTTACAGAATCGACTTGCTTAAAATAATGTTAGGTTTATTTAAATTTAAACAACAGTCAACAATGCCCCATGTTTAAAGAACTGATTTTGAGTGGGAATTAAATAAAACAGTAATTTATCGTGAAGTAGTTTGGGAATCGTCAGAATTTTCACATAGATGAAATTAATTTTTAAAATGATAAAAATTATTTATTTATTTAAAATAGCTTATTTCCAAATTAAAAATACGCTCAAGATTAACAGATATTAGTGGAGACAACGGAATTAACAATAAACTTAACATTTATATGAAAAATGTGATTCATTATTGACAAATTTCAAAAGTCCGCTACATTGTATATGCTAGAGTAAATCATTCTTCTTTGACAGCAATTTTATAAGAAAAATTTTTAAATTTTGAAAAATTTAAATGAAGTATTTATCTTTTTGATTTGTTAACAGATTTATTCACGAGAAAGCCTTTGGCATGCTCAGGATATTCAAAAACTAACAACTACTTTGTGAGTTTAATTTAAATTTAATTATTTTTAATTGAATTTACGAAAAGTTGTGAAAATGTTGTAGTTCATTTAAAATAAATTTGATGGTATTGAAACCGATTAAAAACTATCAACTAGCACATACACTCAAACAACATGATTCAACCAGTACACATAACGACGAAATAAATTTATTGCACTTAAAATGTGTGGCTTTCCAAAATTGGCTTCTTAATGAAAGAAAACTGGGAAGACAATTTAAATTTTAAAAATAAGATCTGCATATTTGAAAACAACCCTTTTATTAGGAAAGGAATTAATTTTAATGTCAAAATTTTGCCAGAACTCCCATCAAATTGAATCAATACTCCCATTAAGAAACAAAAATAACAAAAACAAACACAAATATTTAAAGACTTCTGACAACATCTATATTTCTGTAACGTACCCTGACGCAAAGTTGGGATACTTAAAAACACACAAGAAACACAAACTCATGCACACACACACACTCTCTCTCTCTTACTGTTTCACATGCTTGTGCGCGTGTGTTTGCGTAGTAAAACTGGTAACCTCCATAGGTCATGCAACGACGCATGGACGGATCGGAAAGCTTCAACAGGAACTGGACTGAATACAAAAACGGATTTGGAAATCCGAGCGCTGATTTTTGGATCGGTGAATTATTTAATGTTTATATTTTGCAGAAAATAAAAATTTACAAAAATTTAAATCCTCCAGGAAACGACAACTTGTACCAGATGACGTCGACCAGCAGGTACAAGCTGGTGGTTGTCATGGAAAACTATAATGAAACCTTGGTTTGTGCAGCTTACGATTCATTCAGAATCGGTTCACCTGATAATAATTACACTCTCTACGTCGCTAACTACAGTGGAAACGCAGGTTTTTTTTTGGTTTTTTTCTCTCCACCAACTTACTTTAGTTTGCACATACCGACAAATGATTGAACGAAATCAAACAGGGGATTCCTTAATACTGACCCACAACGGCATGCCATTCTCCACATTCGACAACAATCATGATAATTTCAACTGTGCAGTTTTTTATCGTGGAGGGTGGTGGTTCCATGCCTGCTTCTCATGTTTCCTCAACGGTCTATACTCATATAACGCTACTAGAAGAACCTATGAAAACTGGTGGGGAACATTTTCAAAAACGTTTGCTTTGAAGTTTATCGAAATGAGAGTCGAGCTACTTGAAGAAAATAATTTTTAAATGAATCAAAACTTAAAACAGAGGAAACTGATGATTTTATTGCTAAAATGATGTCGAATTACCCAACAATATACCTGCTAACAAATTTGTTACGTTCTTTTAAAATTTTTCAAGGTTTTTTCAATCATTTTTATCATGCCATATTTATGCATCCAGTAGTTTACAATTTATTCCATGATCTCAGTCTAACAACTTTCCACAATAAAATAAAATTATTTTTTCAAATACTCCAGCTGTTCTAATATTTAGATTTCAGCCAAAGTTTTTTGTCGTATGTCTGATTTTTGAAAGTATAAATATATAAGTATATACAATATCCCCAGTTACTAAGCATTATGCGGTCAGTTGAGTTAACAAAATAATATATCTGTGGTGTCGAGTAAAAAAATGGATGTTTGATGAGATTGATAATTGTTTATGTTACTGTTTGCCGAGTTTGTGCAAATTTGTATGTGTAATGAAACAAATAAATTTGTATAAAAACATGTTTTTATACAGTTTTATTTTATTATATATGCATGTATGTGTAACAATATTATTAATTGTTAATGTTGCTGTTTGCAGAGAACTCCATTTTGTTCAAATTTTATACACTCCCAAATATGATAAAATTATTTCGTCACGAACAATCACAACGTAAGACAAAATAGTTTCAGAAGTGACATCCCACTTTTGATAGTAACATGAGTATGAAAAGTTGTCTATAACTTCAAATTGTTATTTGAGAATAAGCTTCATTCATCTATGACCCTATGACATTGTTGTATGGTCCGATCTGTCTTCTGTGTACGTAAGTGAGCGACATGATGGCTGTGAGGGCCAGGATGAACAACATGGTTATAATCTGAGAGGTGTTTAGTTTTTATTTCATTGAATCGTTTACAACCTTCGAATAGGACTGTTTGCGTGGTTTTATACCACTGTATCATCAATTCTGTAGCATTCTTTAAAGCGAACATTTAAACTAGAATTTACCTTGAAGTTAGCGATGAATATGTCGCAGTAGTGAGTGAAGACGACTCGGTAGAGAGCAAACGTGCAAGGAACGTATGCTTCCGAATTAGAGAAGTCTTGGCATCTGCATAATTAATTTTGAAGATATCACTACTTTAACAATAATAATAACAAAATGAAATAACATGAGGCGTGGTTAAAAAATAGGGCAATATGACAGTAGCTCCAAGATGGATGTTTTTGTAAAAGTCAATATGTACAAGAACGAAAATTTATTACAAACATGTGAAAGCGAGTTGAGAGACAGTTAACTTTTTGTAAACGTTCACATCCACAATGAAAATAATAATTGATCAATTAACTTGATGATGTAACTGCTACTTCAGAGCTTTAAGTATCGTGCGATGGTTCTCTTAAACGCTTACACACTTCTCACTCAGCTCACTTGATGAATATTAACAACTAGGTCAGTTAAAATAGCTATTAAACATACAAACAATTTTCATTCAAATTTATTTATTCCATTCAAATCATTAATCATATCTGTAAAGTCGTAACTAAATAACTGATTAAGTTTGCAAAATAAACCAGCTATTAAAAATATTATAATATATTATTTAAAAGTAATACAATACAATTAAAAATAACATTTAAAAATTTAATAGCGCTAGATAAATGACTCCGACCAACCTCGTGAGAAGGTGTACAGTCAGCATGAGTCTGTCCCGCTGTATACTGAGCGGCACGTGCAGTTCATTCAGGAAGTACTCGTTTATGCTGACACCATCCCCTGCCAGTAGAGCCAGGCTGTAGAGGGCCTGATGGCAATGCAGATTAATGAAGGTGGATGTACAGCAAAACCGAAATGTGATTCACGTGTTAAACAGCACTACTAAACTAAACTAAACTACAAAATTTATTGTTGCTGGTGTCATTTTACGCTCATGATTAGCAACGTTAGTTTTAGTGTTAATTTTTTCATTTGTCACATTGTCATTCTTTTACAAAATGTTCTGTTCAGCTTTAGATATTCTGTTCTTTGTTTAAAAAAAATTTTCTTAGCACTCAATTTGGCTCTAATTTTATCTACTTTAATTAAGTCCTTCCTAATCACTCTGCAACACCAAGCCACTCGCATCTGATTTTTTGCAAACATCACGCCCCACAAACCTGGGGATCGCCGGCGAGTGCAGCGTTGACGTACATCCTGATGGCTGCCTGCTTGTCCACACGGCCTTCCTTGCCGTGGTGGTAATAATAGTGGGCCATCTTGTTCCAGGCTGTTTGTGTGTGTGTGCGTGTGTATGTGAGGCGTATACACATTAAATCACACATTGTTTGTTACATGTAACAAACAATGTGTGATTTAATGTGTATTTGCCTTTTTATAGGTTTATTTATAACAAGTGTTAATGGGATTGTTCACGACACAGACATGTCAGCGCATAACATGAATTTATTTTTCACATTCAGAGAATGATCGGGAAATGATACAAATGAAGAAAAAAATTAATTTTAAATTCTGCAACGGACTAGACTGTTTTTTAAACATTAAACCGAGCCTCGAAGCACGAACCATATGGATCGACATCCTTGGGTGCCCTCCTGCGTCGAGAGGTTGTAGTGCCTCCACTGGCACTCCTTCTCCATGTATTTCACGTACCCACCCTAACATGCAATCATCGTTCCGCAGTCAAATTTCATCAGGTAGTAAATCATCAAATAATCAGTTACGTGTATTTTATACAAATTGAAGTTATCTTATTTAATCAACCATCTATAATCATTCAATTAATTAATTAACCATTTATAATCAATCTATCAGTTGATTAACCACCCATAATCAATCAATTAATTAGCCATTCATAATCAATCTATTTGTTGAATAACCATTCATAATCAATCAATCATTTACTAATCATCTATAATCAATCAATCAATCGACTGATTGAATCGTCAATCAACTAACATTATCTTCGTCGCACAGGTAAGCCAGATTGAAGTTTCCAACCTCAACACCTGTAGTGGCTGCCATCAAATAATAAACAAGTGCTGAATACCTGGAAAAGTTTTATGGATGTTGTTGTTAGTTTTGTTGTTGTAGTTACGGTTTTCCTTATAGTTTTTTGACATTTTGTTGTTGTTTTAAAAGGAAATATTGTATATAATTAATAAAATCGTAATTAATAAAAAATATTGTCTTCGTTGTATAGGTCTGATGTTGAATTCCGTTGATGCTTCTAAGGTTTTTAATGTTTGATCACTCATCATCACTACTGGTTATGAATATTACTTTTTGAAAAATATACGAGAATTAGATAGATAGTTAATGTAAATGAAGAGATCATTGTCATGTAGTACAACATCATCACGTGGAACATCGTCATCACGTGATTAATCATCATCATATGGTACATCATCATCACGTGGTACATCATCATCACGTGGAACATCGTCATCACGTGGTACATCATCATCATATGGTACATTATCATCACGTGGTACATCATCACCATATGGTACATTATCATCACGTGGTACATCATCATCATATGGTACATCATCGT